CATATTTCTTGAATGTTCTGCTCATAGTTTCTTACCATTTTCACTGTGTGGTCTACATCCTTTTGAAGATTATATATTTTATCTTCATTGTCTGAGGTCCTGTCTTCCAAGTGGTCAAATCTGTTGGTAATGCTTTCAACTGAGCATTTAATTTGGTTTATTGTTTCTTTTATTTCAAGTATTTCTGTTTTTTTTTTTCAGTACGTCTATCTCCGTATTGAAGTAATCTTTTGCTTCCTGTATTTTTTTTATATAGCTCTTTGTCAAAATGATCTTTTGCTGCCTGTATTTTGTATTTGCTCTCTTATATCATCCTTTAATTTTCAGAACATTTTAATCATGTACATCCTGAACTCCTTCTCTGTCATTTCTTCTGTGTGCTGGCCATGGATTCTAATAATGTGGTATCTTGATTAGTTTGGGGCACTTTCTTCCCTTATCTTTTCATATTGCTTGTGTGTCTTCCCTTCTGGCTGTGTGGATCCAAGGTGTTACCATTTTTACCCTATAGGCTTATAGTGCCCCTGTAGGGATCCAATATTTCTCCTTTGAGGTGAAGGACAGTGTTAACAGATCCCAATATAAACAATATACACTCTAAAAACAAATGTTTGCTATTAAGACGTTTACAGTTTGATCACAATGTACACAAATGGTGAATTCAATTATTATGTACAATATACTCAGTAGGTTTGTAAAAAGGTTTACAATTTCTGATGGTGGACAGAGAACCAGGGGTGAGGAGTAGGATGATATGCTGAGGAGGTAGGAGGTGAGGATATAGAGTTATTATATCTTGGGAAGTGTGAAAGAGAAATGTAAAGAGGAAGATTAGTAGCAGGAAAAGGGAGAGGATGTAATTTTGGGTAGACAAGTACGTGGGAAGTCAGTAGATTACATAAAACAAACACACATAAAAAGAAACATAAAAAAGTTAAAATAGTAGAAATTGATAGAAAAAAAGATAAAAAATAAAAAAAGAATATACAACATACCTATAATATACTATTCAGATGTCCTATTTATATAAATATACTATTTATCCAGTCCTCAAAATCCTAATTCATGCAAAGTACTTGGTTCCACATATGTTGGGGATGTGAGGGCAGGAGAACAGCAAGGGAAAGGGAAAAAAAATCTTGAAGGAAGAAACAGGGTTTGTTTTGGTTGGAGATCAGTATCTTTCCTGCTTCCCTTCCAATAGGTGGGGTCATCTGTTGTTAGCTTGTATCTCTGCCCTCAGGATGGTGAAGGTAACCAGGGTGTCACTGTGCCAGGGTAGTGGCTGCTGGGGAGAGAGGGGAGTTAGAAACTGGGTACCTGGCCAGACAGAGTTCCAAACTGGGAGTTGCCTCCACTGAAGATGGTGATGAAGGTGACCCAAGATGGAAGTGCCTGCTTTCGGTAATGGGGTGTCGGGTCGGGTGGGGGAGCCGGGTGATCTGTTGAATGATGAATTCAGAGATGAGCTCTGTGGAGTGCAGTGTGTGCTGTGGCTGACTTCAGAGCCTGTGTGAGGTTCCCAGGTGCAGGCAAGCTATGGCACATAGGGGACTATCTCCACTGCTACAGAGTCCCAAGATGGCAGCGACCAGGGGTGCCCCACATTGGTAGATGGGGGTCCACATGGGAGTGGTGGCCGGAGTTCCTGTGCGTGGGAAGCTGCTGGGTGCCCTGCGTGGGAGCTGCGTTGGTAATTTCTGCATGAGTGGGTGGCCGAAAGTTCTGCTAAGGTGCACATGGTCCCGCTCGGGTACCTGGTCATCCTGCAGGAGCAAGTAGTTGGGAGACCTACTCTGACGCTGAGGCCTGGAGCCCTGGACTGGCACAGTGACCTACGGTGACCATGATTCCTGTGCAGGAGCAGGAATATCACTCACAGAGAAGCAGTATTGTTACTACTTGAGTCCCAGTTCACAGAGCAACACAGAACGCTGCCTCCCTGTGGCCTGCCATCTTGGATCTCAAGATCAGAGGATTCTAATGAGAGAACAGAAAGCATCCAAAATAACGTTTCTAAATAAGAATTTGAGAAAAGATGGCATACACAAAAGTATCATTAGAATCCTAAGACTTGGAATGAACCTTCAGAGAACATAATAACTAAAGAGCTGAATCAGACATTCCCTAAACAGTAGATCTCAAAGCTTAACCTTAATATTAACAGAATGACTGCTAATACATTCCTTCTCTCTGGGGACTGACAAAATGTCCAGGAACCATAGATATGATTTGTGGGATGGGTTCAGGAATAGTTGTCTCACCATGAAGGTGGAATGAAAAAGTCAGACACCCCTGAGTTAGATCCACAGCTCTACCTTTTATCCATTGTCTGACCTTGAGCAAAGTACTTAATATCCCTAAAAGACATTAATAAAGAACTCTTTCTCTTCCCATCCTGTTTTCCATTTCTGTGTTGTTTTTTCATGCTGCTTTCTAAGACATTTTATCAGCACTGTCTCCCAACCCTTTTATTGAGGTTTTAATTCCTCTTGTCATAGTTTTAATTCCCAAGAGCTCTTTTATTTTCTCAATAGTCCTTAAAATTTCCTCTTCTTGTTTTATGGTTGCAATATCTCCTCTAATCTCTCCGAGGATGTCAATGATAGATGTTCCTTTTTAAAGTTTTCTTCTGAGCTTCAGGGATCTTCCCCAAGAGAATAGACCTGCAGTCTTCTGCTGGGGTCGGGAAAGTGGAATTATTAGACTTTGCAGAGTGGAGGAGGAAATTTGCAGGTCTGTTCACTTTTTGGACTGACTTACAGTCAGTTCTCTTGGTTTATGCCTACTTACAGATGAACCTGGCACTGCAAGTTCCTGAACCTTTTTGGAGTTCTCTGGTGTAAATTCATTTGCCTCTTGGCTTTCCTTATTGATGACTTGGGATGCAGCTTTCTCAGTTGTACTAACTCAGTTACTATTTGTCCAACTGCTATCTAGTTCCTAAAATGTGTCACTAATACTGTCTTCTGTCCTGAATCTTCTTACCTTGTGTTTTGATGCCTTTATAGAATTCCTTTACTATATATGTATTTTTGTTGTTGTTGTTTTTGGTACTGGGGATTGAATCCAGGGGCATTTAACCACTGAGCCACATCCCCCAGCCGTTTTTATTTTTTATTTTTGAGACAGGGTCTTGCTAAATTGTTGAGGCTGACCTCAAACTTGCAATCCTCCTGCCTTAGCCTCCCAAGTCACTGGTATTATAGGCATGTACAACTGTGTTCTGCTCCTTTACTATAATTTTTATCAGGGCTTTGAGGAGGGATCAAAGCTAAATGTGTGGGTTCAATATGCTACCTTTAACCAAAAGCATCTTAATTTTTTATGTCTTTATATCCATTCATCACTTTGCATTTCAACTATCTCCAAATGAGACACTCTTACCACTTTATTTCTGGAATTTTTTCTTCTCTCATCTTGTTCCCTAGGTTTGCACTACATAATGCTGTAGATTCATTTTCCTGAAAAATTGTCCTATGTACAGCTTTGATAGTAAATTATTTCTTCAGTTGCTTTTTTATTTTTGGATGCCAGGGATTGGACTCAGTAGCACTTAACCACTGAGGCACATCTGCAGCCCTATTTTGTATTTTATTTAGAGACAGGGTCTCACTGAGTTGCTTAGGGCCTCGCTGAGTTGCTGGGGCTAGTGTTGAACTCGTGATCCTCCTGCCTTCAACTCCCAAGCCTCTGGGATTACCTGCATGCACCATCGCACCTGGCCTTCAGTTGCTTCTTGATGCTTATAGCATAGAGTCTACATTCCTTAACCTGACATTGCAAGCCTTCCACAATTTAGCCTCCCATCTTTTTTCAACTTTATTTTGGTTACCAGGTATTAAACTCAGAGATGCCTAACCATTGAGCTACATCCCTAGCCCTTTTGATTTTTTTTTTTTTTTTATTTAGAGACAGGATCTCACTAAGTTGCTGAGGCTGGCTTCAAACTTATGATCCTCCTGCCTCAGCCTCCTGAGCCACTGGGATTACAGGCATGTGCCACCACACCCAGCTCAATCTTCTTGTTAAGGCATTCTTTTAAAACACTCATCTCCATACCCCCTGTAGCTGGGCTTGCCTGGTGATACCAAGTAGATATAACAGTTTATTTGTTGATTTTGAGTGAATAACTTCAAACTCCTTAAGTGAATACCACTCTGACCAAAGGCCCCTTAAAACACAATTCAGTCCAGGATTCAAAATCTACATTTTATATATACTATTTTTGATTGTGTATACTATTGCTTCAGTCAGTTTTTTTTTGCCACTGTGACTAAAAGATCTGACCCGAACAATTTTAGGGAAAAAAAGTTATTTGAGAGCTCACAGTTTCAGAGTTCTTAGTCCATAGAAGGCTGGCTGTATTCCATGGGGCTCAAAGTGAGGCTGAGCATTGTGGTGGGAGAGTGTGGTGGAGGGAAAAAGCTCACATGATGATCAGAAAGCAGAGAGGGAGACAGAGTCTACTCCTAGATACAAAATATATACCCCAAAGCTACGCCCCCTAATGAGCCACTTCCTCCAGTCATAGCCCACCTGCCTTTAGCCACCACTCAGCTAATCCGATCAGGGATTAACTCACTGATTAGTTTAAGGCTCTCACAACCCAATCATTTCTCCTCTAAACCTTGCATTGTCTTACATGTGAGCTTTTAGGGGACACCATATCTAAACAATAACAACCATATTGTATAATAGTTGTTTCCATGGTGTGTATTACTTGACACCTTATTTATTTTCTACTAGGCTCTGAAGGTGCAAAGATGAGTAGGATGTGTAAATTATAAATAATAAATTGCTATCATATGGTGCCAAGTTTAAGCTTCAGCTCAATGGCTGTTTTACATGTTGTGATTTAATATTCTTGTAGGGTTTAACCTTATAATTTATTATATCCTTCCCACAAAAAGAATGTTCTGACTTTCATATCAAATATGTTTATATCATTTTCCTGTTGTTAAGTATATTGTTTTCTAATGATATTTTCTCTCCATCAGAATTGTCTTTGCTGACCTCTTCATTATGAATCTAATTCTTTGGGTGGAAGAATCATTAGCTGCCATCTCCTTTGGTACTCTGATAAGTATCTTTGCAATATGATTTGGGATTTTAGTATCACAGACATTTTTGGTGCATACTTTGATTTTTTTGTGGGGGGAGTTCCTGGGTATTGAACCTAGGGGTGCTTAACCACTGAGCCACATTCCTAGCCTTTTTATATTTTATTTAGAGACAAGGTCTTGCTGCATTGCTTAGGGCCTCACTAAGTTGCTGAGGCTGGCTTTGATCTCATAATCCTCCTGACTCAGCCTCCTGAGCTGCTGGGATTACAGGTGTGTGCCACTGTGCCTAGCTTGGTGCATGCTTTGAAGGCTTGGAAAATATAAACTTTTAAAATTCTGCTTTTGACCACTGAATAATGCTTAAAACAATTTTACTGCTTCTGTACTATACATGATATAGAAAATGTACCATTGGAAAACTACAGAGAACAACCATTTTAGAATTAAAGATACAAAAATATTAAATCAAACACAGTAACATTTTCAAAGACACTGTTGAATATATTTCTCATATTAAAGATTATTTGCATTTCCTTTTATCTTTGGTGGAAAAAAAAAAAAGGACATGTTATAGGAAGTCCGACGCCAACCAACTTAGAAAAGTAATGAAGTTTTATAGTGGGAGAAGAAGATATAGTCAGATAAATGGGGCTATTCAGTTTACAGATTTGAAGTTAGTTTATTATACATGTAGGAAAAAGGAACAGGATACCAAAAAGACTAAATGAGGTCACACTTCAAGTAGAGTATATAAAGATCTAGCATGCAATTGCAGTGGAGAAGTCAGAAAATACAAACAGGAATGTGGAATTTCACAAAGAACAGAAGAAAATATTGAAAGCTATTGAAAACTACTAAAGAGATAAATCCTTAGGCAAATACTAAGAGAACATTTTAACATTATAAATTATTTCATGTTGGAATAGTTACTAGTTAGTCTTGTTCAATCTCTCCCTTGAATTTATAAACAAGGATAAACATCTTTATTGATTGTCAAGCTGTGTGCCATCTAGTATGGTGGCTACTGGCTCTATGAACTTATTGAGCACCTTAAATATGGTTAGTCCTCATTGAGATGTGCTGTAAATACAAATTATACACTAGTTTTATTTTTTATTTATTTATTTTTATATATTTATTTTTTAGTTATAGGTGGACACAATATCTTTATTTTACTTTATGTGGTGCTGAGGATTGAACTCAGTGTCTCATGCATGGTAGGCACACACTCTACCTCTGAGCCACAACTCCAGTCCCTATACACTAGTTTTAATACTGAGAACAATAAAACAAAAAATGTAAAATATCTTACTGTTTCTTTGTGGTACTGTGAATTCAACCCAAGACCTTGTGCATGCTAGACAAAGTTCTACTACTGAGCAGCCTCTCTGCTTATGATCACTAATCTTTATATTGGTCAAAACTTTAAATTATAATATTTGGACATGTTAGATCATATCAACTATGTTCTTTTTTAAAAAAAATTAGTTGTTGATAGACTTTTATTTTATTTATTTATCTGCAGTGCTGAGAATTAAACCCAGGGCCTCATACATGCTAGGCAAGCACTCTACCCCTGAGCTACAATCCAGCCCCAACTATGTACTTAAAATTGTTCTTACCTGTTTCTTTTTCACTTTTTAATGTGGATACTAAAACTTAAAACTACATTTGTGGCTTGCATATTTCTATTGTACAGGGCTGATTTAGCCTTTGCCCATATAATATTCCACATCCTGTCCAGATTCAAGATTCTATGCCATTATTGTGATTCTGTCTGTATAAATTTATTTCAATGTCATTGCATTCTGATTGTTACATCATTTATTTTTGAATAATTTAGATGTCCATGTCACTCAACCAGATCCTGTGGCAGATTCCTGAACAGAGCTTCTTCACAAAACCATTTCTTGGCATTGTAATTGGTGGCATTTTATCCTTTGGCTGTATTTTTATTGAACTTTTTCATTATGAAAAGTATTTGGTGAGTATCATGTCTTAATAATCTCAAAAGTTTTGATTTTCAAAATTTTAACTGACATAATGATTCTACATATTTATGGGGTACAATGTGATCATTTAATATTTTTACATTATGTTTAATGATCAAATCACGAAGGTTAGAAAATGGATACCTAAGTATAGTTAAGTTAGGAATAAATTCTAATGTTTTACAGCACAGTAAGATGGCTAAAGTGTACAACAGTTTATTACATATTTTATAAAGAACTAGAAGAGAGGAGTTCAAGTTTTAATTTTTTTTTGTGGTACTGGGGATGGAACTCAGGGCTTTGTACCTGCTAAGCATGTGCCCTGTCACTGAGCTATACCCCCAACCCCCAAAGTTTTTTTTTTTTTTTTTTTAAATTTTAATATTTATTTTTAATATTTGGCGGACACATCTTTGTCTGTATGTGGTGCTGAGGATCGAACCCGGCCGCACGCATGCCAGGTGAGCGCGCTACCGCTTGAGCCACATCCCCAGCCCCCAAAGTTTTAATTTTAATAAATTATTTTTCCTGCATTTCAAGGGGGTTAAACTGAAGTATGATTGTTTGTCAACTTTTTCACTGCTGTAATTAAAGGACCCAACCAGAACAACTGTAAAGGAGGAAAATTTTATTTGGGGGCTCATGGTTTCCGAGGTCTCAATCCATAGACAGCAGGCTCCATTCCTTGGGGCTCAAAGTGAGGCAGAACATCATGATGGAAGAGTATGGTAGAGGGAAGCAGCCCACGTGGTGATCAGAAAGCAGAGAGAGACTCCACTCTCCAGATACCCAAAGGCACATCCCCAATTCCTACCTCCTCCAGCCACACCCTACCACTTGCATTCTCACTCAGTTAATCCCTATCAGGGGGTTAATTCACTGATTGGGTTAAGGCACTCACAACCCAATCATTCTTTCTCTGAACCTTCTTGCTTTGTCTCACATGTGAGCTTTTGGGGGATATCTCACATCCAAACCATAAAATGATAATACTTCACTTATCCTCATGTTATCCAGAAAATAGGAATCTGACTCAGGGAGATTTCCTAGAGAACTGTATTCATTCACTGCTTTTTAAAGTGATTTTAATTGAAATTTCTATAAAGATTTACTTTTTTTAAAAAAGTAATCACCTATTATTAAGCCTTTCCAGATAACTTAGAAAAGTTGTTCTCAACTGAACCTTTGTGGGGTTTAGGGATATGGGATCCCTTGGGTGGGAGGCAGCTAAATATGGGAAGAGACAGGGCTAGGGATGTAGCTCAGGGGTAGAGTACTTGCCTATCAAGATGAGAGTGGCAGCTCTGATTCTTATGTTTTTCATAGTGGCCTTCCATGGGCAGTTTCATTTATGATTCCTCTGCCAAAATCATTTTGAAGGCCATTGAGTGGGTCTTCATGTGTACTGAGCTGTAAGTAATGGTTTTCTGTCTTTTTCCTTTCTGTCAACTGTTAGTTCTGGTGTCAGGATGCCTGCTCCTATACCTTTCCTCTTTGTTACTTTTAATCTCTTATAATTCAAGAATTCTAATAACAAAATAGTTAGAAATGCATTTAAGTGAATAAATAATGCTCTTTGATTGAAGTGCAATGGCTTTAGTACCCCAGCTTTGTAATGACTCTTTCAGTTGTTCTGCATTCTTTTTTTTAAGATTTCCTGATTCTTGACTGCATTCTGGTTCTGGGAACTGGCCAATTGGGGTGTTACCATGGAGGGATTTTTGGAGATGGACAAAGGCATCATGAAGTAAAATGCAATAGCCAACTGTGTGTTTTTGTAACACTTTTGTCAAACAAAACTGTCAAGTCTTCAAAAATCAGGTTTAATCATGTTCATTAAGTACTCACTTTTTAAATAGCATTATGACAAATTTGTTTGAAAGATAAACAATAAAATCTGTTACCTTGTCAGCAACTAAATATTTAACATGCTGCAGAATAGATTACAGTAACCATATTTTCCAGATGTTTTTTGATGAGAAAGTAATTTTAAAGGGAAAACTAAAAGGTTCTTTCAACGAATTTTCATTTCAGTGAAGAGCACTGTGTACAACCTATATATTTATACAAAAGACTGTTGTGTACAACTTTGTATATATTTACTGTCTACAGTGATAACTGTTCCCAACCATATACACCATTCTGACACCCAAGTATATATTTTATGTGGTACTTTAAAATCAAATTTTAGCTCTATAGTAGTGAAAGGAATTACCTCATTCTTTCAACATTTGACCAAAATATAATCCACACAGAGATTTTTTTTAAATATGCATATTAAAAAGTATATTTAATAGAATTATGTGTACTGTGCTATGAAGACATTTGGAAAGGCTGCATGTCAATAGATATTCAAAGACAAAGTGGCGGGGCTGGAGATGTGGCTCAGGCGGTAGCGCGCTTGCCTGGCATGCGTGCGGCCCGGGTTCGATCCTCAGCACCACATACAAACAAAGATGTTGTGTCCGCCGAGAACTAAAAAATAAATATTAAAAAAAATTATTTAAAAAAAAAAAGACAAAGTGGCATTTGATTCTGTTTTTTTCTGTTGTATAATGTAGCTGCTGGTGTGTTTGGCATTTACAACCTTCCGTTTCTGAAGAGAAATTATTTTTAAATATGTATAGATGACATATGAATGTTAACCCATAAAAAGGGAGGGTAAGGAGGCAAAATATAGAAGTTTATTGGGTTAGACAAAGGAGAATGAAGGGAAGGGAGAGCAGATGGGAATGGGAAAGACAGTAGAATGAATCAGCCATAGCTTTCCTATGCTCATCCATGAATCCATCATGAGTGAAACTCCATATCATGTACAACCAAAATAATGGGATCCTAATTAGAATGGGTTGTACTCTATGTATGTATAGTATGGCAAGGTATACTCAACTGTCATGTATATCTAAAAATAACAAATAAAAAAGAAAAAATATTTATAGAGAAAATTATACAGCTATTCTCAAGTGAGAATGTAATTATATGAGCAGAGAAACATGGGTAAGTAGCAGCATTGCTTCTGACTAGAGAAGATATGACCAACATCTGTAACTACATAAGTAAGGGAATATATTTTTGGTATGAGATTGATAGATGAAGGTTGGGAACAGAGAGTTAAAGGTTTAGGGGGAAAAAAGGTTTGAGAAGTATGTGACAATCTATTGCAGAGATTTGGACTCATCCATGTATATTGATAAAGTTTGTTTGAAACCTGTTGTTTCTGTTTTCAGGTCTCATCAGTCATAATATATGTTTGGTTTTCTTAGTCTTATAAATTTTAAGATTACTTGTTCAGAAGCTACAGCCTACTGTACTATTTTTGTTTATGTGCTGAGGTAAAGACATAAGAAACCAGTGTGTCTTAAACTTTCTTAGTTTGTATTATTGAAGTTAGAAGTCTGGGTTTAGAAATACATAAGTTGAAATACATGTTAACTGCATAGTTTCTGCAACTTGGGATTGGTTTTATATTGTATTTACCCAATAACACTTTTTGACTTTGGTGTACCTATGAAGTTAATGCTGCCTTGGTGGAAAGTTTAAATAGACAGTGATTTCTCTCTGGCTGGTTACTATATGTGCTGCATACTATTCAGTTAACATAAAATAGGGGGCTGATTTGATATTTAGACATATAAAATATCTGGTTCAATAATGTTTTCTTTTAATAATTAAAGTTTTCTTTGGAGCTTAGGGCAGGATTATATTTTGTGGAATTGAGGTTGTTGCTTTTTTATTTCTTTCATTTATTACCATGGATAGTTCTTTTTACTCCATCCTCATTTTTTTCCTCCCTGATTGTTACCGCTGTTGACCGTGACGAGTCCTTGCTTCCCCAATGTTGAAGAATAACACCCGAGAAGCACGCTGAGGCAAGGTCAGAGTAGAAATTAGAAGTTTATTAAAGGACAGCAGAAAAGACTTCTCCGGGAGGAAGAAGGGGACCCAAGAGGTGGAATCCATGGAAGTGCCGTTGTTTCCCCTTTTTATAGTTCTTTCAGTGTTGGAATGTAGGTTGGAAGGCCGGAGGGGTGGGACACAGGTGGGCCAAAGAACTAATCTGGGCAGGAAGGACTTCATTAACACTTCTTTGGGATGGGCTATCTTCAAATCTGCTGGGGCTGTTCATTAAAACTTCTTTGGGATGGACTTTGGGCCTAGGGCTTTTCTTGGGACTTCATTAACATTTCAAGAGTTGCTCAACATGGCCTCCATTTTAGATTTCACTCCATATTAGACCCCATTTACCTAACTACACTGACTGCCTAATTTTAAATCTGGCTTCATGATGTCATTTTGGATAACTGAGGTGGTAGTGTAGTGCATTGTTTTCTTAAGTCCCCTAAATCCATCTGATTTTGGTAGTTAAATATGACTCTCTAAAAGTGACAATGGAGGATTGAGGGAATGATTTTCTTTTTAAAAAATTTATTTATTTTTTAGTTGTAGTTGCACACAATACCTTTATTTATATGTGGTGCTGAGGATCAAACCCAGGGCCTTGCACATGCTAGGCGAGTGCTCTGCCACTGAGCCACAACCCCAGCCCTGAGGGAATGATTCTTATAGACATGCTGTTTTAGAGCATTTGTTTCTTGAACTATAGTTATAAGCATAAAAACGACATAATTAAGTCTACATCATACTTATCTGCTTGCTAATTCTGTGGTACATTTTGTCATAAGTAACCTGTAACAATTATTAATGAAACATAGCACTATGTATATGATGAGCTTGTTTTTATTTCACAGAAAAATATTTGCGGGGGGACAAAGGAAAAAATATCTTGGCAGTTCCAAACATTGGTAATACGCTAGAAGAACTCATGGGACAAAGTATATCAATGTACACATGGCTAGGTTTATTACAGAAAAATGATACACAATGGGGTCATCAAGGGAAAAAGACACAGGTGGAACTGGATAAATCCAGGCACAGTCTTCCCATGCTGTCTTCTTCCTGTGAGGGAACACACAGCCTGCTCCTTTCTCCAGCA